CAGGCAGAATCTTGTCACTGTGACAGCTTTAGACAAATCTTCACCTTTGTTCATGCAAACAGTATCACAACTTTGATCCTATTTCTATCACTACCATCAGCAGCGTCTTTCAAATGCTATTAGGGTTGAGGAACAAAAGCTTACTTTGTAAGCTTCAGTGATTTAAAAAGAAATTTAAATCAGACTGACCCCATAGATTAATGCTTCAGACAAACCTGGGACAGAAAGGGGGGGGGGGCGAAACCTCAAGTCACAAAAATATTAAGCTCCAGGAGGGAAAAAGAGAGTTCAGCCTGTAGCATCTTGGAGTTGCATCCTTGTTCTTTCTTTTTAAGTCAGCGGTGAGAGCAGGAGGGAAACCAATTCCTCATACCTGTTGAAAATTCCTTGCTTGACATTTTCTGGGCAAGTCCCACAGCTGTGGGTCTGAAGAGCAAGTTACTCAATCCTGCCTGTCTTTTTCCTGGGGTGGATGGAAGGCACGAGGAAAAGGCTTGGGAAGGACCCATTGCTTCTTGTGTGGGTCCTGCTGCAAAGCAAGCCCAACAGGATTCCTTGCATTGGAGTCATTGGCTTGCACCTGTGGGTAGCCAAGCCTGAAGAACAAGGCCCCAGCTCAGCATTAGCTTCTGACTGAGGCAGGCAGCCTTCCCGAGAGGCGCATGTGGAACCCCTGCTGCGTCTGCTCTGACCTCAACTTTCCCTTCCCCCATCTTCCGCTAGTTGGGTACTGATTCACAACTATTCCTTGAACCGACTTTGCTCTTAACTCGTGAGTGAGGGTAACATGCTGTGCTCAGTCCAGGCCTGTGGATTGTGTCCTTCCATGACGGAGGAGGACAGCAGGACTTAAGAGTCAACTAATTGAAGATTACTACCTGGGTCACACTTGGTGCTAAATGTTCTTGTGATTTGCTGATGTTGGTTTAACATGCGGACTCAGATGCAATAAAGGGAAGATTCTGTGTTTACTACCACTCAGGCTGCCATGTCTGCATCAAGCCCTTCTTTGAAATGCCAAGAAGGGTGGAGGGTAGCACAGAGGACCCCGTTCCAAAGCTTCTGAGTAGGGCCCACAAAGTGCCTTAAAGTGTCCAAATTGTCATTATTTTTACCAAAAAGGCTATGTAGAGGGGGAAAATACCACTTAGATTTAATTTATAGCATCATTTAAAGCAGTGGTTCTCAACCTTTTTAATGCCACGACCCCCAACTGGTCGTAAGTCGAGGACTACTCAATTGGTCGTAAGTTGAGGACTACTCAAGTGGTGCAGCACCGTTTGCAGAATGGGACTTTTGGCGGGCTCAGCAGGGCAGAGACAGCCTGGACAATTCCTATTGGCTTTTGAAAGCCAATAGAACTAGGGAGTCAAGAGAGTCTATTCTATTGGCTTTCAAAAGCCAATAGAATAAAAGGGAGTAGCACAGCTAAGGAAAAGGGGGAAAAAAATGGCGGACTGTGTTGTTTGGCTACCCCCGTGAAATGGTCATTCGACCCCAAATGGGGTCCCGATCCACAGGTTGAGAACCACTGATTTAAAGGGATTTAGCTCAGGGCCACCTACATCCTCTTATTTGTTTTAGTCCTGCCTACTCTTTCTCAGCTGTAGGCAGAGAAATGTTTTTTTCCCCCCCAGGTGTTGGACTGTGCCCTCCTTCCCTAAACTGTGTCCTCCAGATTATTTGACATCACTGTGATGGTTGGGAATTATGGGAAATGGCCACACTGATGAAGGGTATACAGTGGACCGATGGAAAGATCAGGTTAAAAACTCACTTCTTAAAACCTAGAATTGGTCTAATAAGGGTATTGTCCCAATATCTTTTTGCTGTCTTTTACATTCAATAATTATAAACTTCTTATCAAAGCAATATTGATGCCAGGTCAATTAAATAAAGTTTAATCTATAGCTGGAAATTCTGCTCCTGCATTCACCAGTCTCCAAAAAGGTATTGTTGGGGAAGTATTTTCAGATCGGCAGTCATAATCTATCATGGGAGGGGTGGGGTTGCAAAAACACCTCGATCCATTAATGGCATTCATGTATTTTGGGGTATTCACACGACCTACTGAACCTTAATCACATGGACGGGGTTCACATAATACATTATGCTAAAACGTGGTTGGCAAGTTTCTGATTCAGTGAAATAACTGCACAAATATAGCCAGCATTTATATTTGACAAGACGAGTACTGCTTTCACATTAGTAGCAGCACTATAAGTTTCCATTTCCTTCCTAGGAACTGCCTCAGACAGTTATTCCCAAACTTTTTCCTTCATCACCCGAAACCATTTATCTGAAAGTCTTTAAGGACCAATCACAAGTCCCTCCCTTCAGCACCATTGTAACTTCAGTAGTTGAATAAATGGTTGTAACTTGAGGACTACCTTTATTACAAAAACACATCTTTGAGTGATCTTTATGTCATTTCAACAAATTACCATTGGTAAATTCATTGGTTTTTGTCTTAAAAGGAATACTTTGGGAGATTTTCAAATATATTTTAGTAGGCATGGCAATCTTTAAATCAATTTAAATATCCTTGTTGTAAAGGGTTTGTTGTCACCAAAGAAAAACCACTTTTACTCAATTATGTGTGATTTACCCAGATTTGGAAAGCACTGAACTCTTTCCTCTCCCCCCCCCACCCTCCGTCCTTAGACATGAATAGCACGTAGCTACCATCCTCACCCCACTTTGCTTATTCCTGAACTACTCCAGTGTTGGAAGCAGCTGCATCTTCTTCTAATATCTCCTGAGGTGTCAAAATGATGGTCAGAGACCATACATTACAGGATCTTTCCCCCCCCCGTCCCTCCCCCCAAAGACCTCTGCTAGCCAAGTTGCAGTGCAAACTCTTCCCACGTGGTACTGAGTACCAGACTCAGAAAAGTGAGGTAGGATAATATACTAGCAACATCTACATTACTGAAATATATACAGCTCCTGGGGACCTTGTATTTTAAAGCAGAGCAAAGCATAGATGTATGTGTGTACGGGAGAGGGGGGAACAGGATAAACTAACTTATCAAGTATTTTAAATCTAAAATCGTTCCATCTCATCTACCAGCTGCAGCCGGAACTGTATCATCCGGGTATTATTTTTATTGCTTTTCTATTTACCAAGCTTCATGCAAATAACGCAAGAAGTAACCAGCAGTCAGATAAATGATTCCTGCCCACTTCCTCTTAATGTTGGTTTTCTGCTTGTAGTTATTTACAGGGAAGCATTTCCCTCGACACAGCAGCCAAGGCACGTTGAAGAGGCTTTTTATTCTGTCATCTTGGCATTCCTGGGTTCCTTTCTGGTGCAAGTATGGACCAGTCCAACATACATCCTTAGCATGTTAACCCTCTATCTGCCTGCATATGGTACCTTTCAAAAATATTGGGCTACAACTCCTATCATCCCCCCCACCACTATAACCGCATTTATATTTGGAAGCCAAAATACTTCAAAACCACTTTTCATTGATCAAAATTGCTCCCGACTCCTTGGAAAGCAACAGGGTTTATTTTGAACCATCTGCCCTGACCCAACAGAGCTCTTTCATTCTTAGCTTCCGCAGTCCCAGTGCTACTTCCAAACATTTCCTCCTTTTGGCCACAGCTTGGACTTTATGCTTGTCGCTTCAAACCTACCATTTTGTCAGCACGGTGTCTCTCTTACACATTTTCTGGAAAAGTGGATTGTGACTACCAGACCAGGTTTCTCCAACTCTGGACAGCTTAGCAGTTGCACAGATGCAGTACCCTAAAATCTATCAGCACAAGCTAGTTTGCAAGCAGAGTGAGAAGGGATTGGTATCGGCAGAGAGGAGATTGACCGCTACTTATCAGCTATTGCTCCAGTTCAATACAGAAACATGGAAAAGGAACGCCAATCCCTGGCTGCCACATGTCAATTAAAAACCTGTTCTCCCTCAGAGGTGATAGCACAGCAGGTCACAGAAACCTCCAGGGTCACACCAAGAAACAAGTAGCAGCCTGTTAGGTGAAAAAGAGGGCAGGCAAGGAATGAGGCCCAGATGCAAAAAACAAAAACAGAGCAACAGATTTGTTTTTTTTCTCCCCAGTGGAGACTGAAGTCCTGCATGCAAAGATGGCTCTCTGCATCCATCTCTATCATGCTGCTTAGGATCTCAATTTGTTGCTTCTCAAGGAGGTAGTCCTTATAGCACTAATGATGAGAGATTTCTATATTTTCTAATATCCCGCCTCCTTTTTGCAAACAAACTTTCTGCCCTTTTGCAAAGGAACAATGACTAATGGTACTGAGCATGGATATCCTTCATTTAAGGCAGGGGTCTTCAAACTTGGCCCTTTTATGACTTGTGGATTCCAACTCCCAGAATTCCTCAGCCAGGCATGCTGGCTGAAGAATTCTGGGAGTTGAAGTCCACAAGTCATAAAAGGGCCAAGTTTGAAGACCCCTGATTTAAGGCATCTCAAACCTATTTGATTGGTTCTACCAGATCAAAGTACGTGATTTTCTTCTGCTGACACTAATCTCACAGGATGTGTGTTTTTGATCAAGGGACCTTCATTACTGAATGAGCAGCCCTTGGGTGGAGCACATGGCCATGCCGGAGAGATAGCCATGTGGCTTTTTTCATTTTCAGCAGGTAAACAATGGCCTCCCATTTCCTACTTGGGAGACTTAAGGAACTGTCCATCGAAGATCCCTAGAAAAGCAACCAGACTCATCGTCCCCAGGTGCTTTTTCAACCAGACCCATGAACCAACCATAACCCCTCATTGGCAAGAGAAGAGTTTTCTGGAAAGCAGAGAACTCAACTGAATGCTCGAGAAACAGCAGCATAAATATTTGGTTCTTGTAGACTGTAAGAGCACCCACCTCAGCTTTTCCAAATTCAGTTCCTCCCTCCCCCTCACCCAATGCAGAGAGGTTCATCACTCACTACACAACCAAAACAACAACAACAAAAAATGGAGAAAAAAATGAGAGAGAAAGAGAGAGAGAGAAAGCGTGCAGGTCAACTCTGCCTATATTTTTATTTCAGGCACCAAATACCACTTTTAGACCAGCCATCCGTGGAGTCTTCAGGATCCATCTTCTAAAGCAGCAGACGACTCCCCTCCCCACTTTTCAAAGATGTCTCTTTGAAGCGTCAGAGAGCAACAAATGGGGATGGCAGGAATGTCAGCGTTATCTCCTGTCCCTCCAGGAATTTGGGACTCAGCATGAAGACGCAAGAGGAGCTGAGCACATGGCCTCTTTACATCTGAGTGTAAAGAAACACTTGTTCAGACCAAGGCTTGGACAGTAAAATGGCCACAATAGGTAGATTATAACTACATATGTAGTGAGGAAGACACCACACCTGGAAAAGGTAAGATTACCAGAAATACTTCCTTCCTTGGCTTTTTGTTGTTGTTGTTTTTTGTTTTGTTTTAAACTTTCAAGCCAGTCCATCAACAGTCCAGGACCCAGGAGAGGCTCCCCGGTTTGAACCAGCCCTTAGAATGGGAGTTCAAGTCTATTTTTGCCCCTGGAGAGCTTGGCACCCCTCCATGTTAGCTGCAGCCTCCATCGCTTTATTTTCTGTCCAGAGTCCATTTGGTTCCCAGTCTCTTTTCCTCTCAGCATTACCCTAAGGCCAGACCTGCTCAGGGGGAAGTCCTGACACTGACCGGTGAGCGGTGCCCCCTCTCCCTCTGCTGCTAGGCACGGGGAGAATCGAAAAGGCAGCAGCAGGAGGGATCAAGGCCAATGAAGCACAGCCATGAGAGCAGCTAGACCAGATAGCTGGACCAACCCATTGGCAATGGTGAAAGAAGTGATGCCTGCTGGGTGGTCAAGAGCCACACGTGAACAAAGAGGTGGGTGGGAAGAGAAAGAGAGGCTATTGCACCGAGTGAAAAAGGGACAGCATCTTAGAGACAAGGGAGGGGAAGGGAGGAGGAGAGACTTTTCTTTGGAGGAAGGGAGAATGATTTCAATGGCTGCAGGTTTAGGACCTGCTTTGCTGAAATCTTTTCTCTTAGGGCAGGGAATGTGGCTGAAAGAGCAAAAAACAAGTGGTGTCCTATCAAGTCCTCTTCTCCTTGTCCCCAAATTACATGATTCCCCTCCAGCCTCCAGGGTGAGGGAAACCAGCAGGCCCTACAGTGGCATTTTCCTTCTATTGAGGCAGCTACACTCTCTCCACACCCCTAAAGCCAACGTCCGTTCCCCACCCCCCCCCCCGCAGGCAAACTCAACCCCTCCAATCCAAAGGGGGAGGGGAGAGGGCTCTCTCGAGGACCAGTTCAATTATTTCTTTTAATAATGAAAAACGGCAGATGAAGGGGAAGCCCAGCATGCCCCAGTTTGCGAGTGTTTCAGCTCCTTGGGGAAGAGATCCTGTCTCTCTTTTGCACCTGTCTGTTTCTCAGCGCACCAGAGGGGAGAGTCTTCTGCGGAGAGCCAAAAGTGGGGGGCAAAGGGGCAGCTGAAGGAGCGTTGATCAGCAGCAGTGGAGGAGGGGAGGGGTTCCAAGTGTTATCATCCTTCCTGCCAAAACATGCACACCAAAGGGGTGTCAGGCGAGCGCAAGAGCCGGAACCAGGTATCAACTCTTGTCAGAACCACTGTCTCGGTGCAGGGCACCTTTCTTCATGCTTTCCAAGTACTCCTGTTGCGAAACGGCCAGCACCGAAGCCAAGATCTCATCGTCATCCCAGTCACTCAGACCTGGTCAAAGAAAGACAAAGGGGCAAAGCAGTCAAGGAGGGGAGAGCAGAGAGAGGGAATCGTGGCTATTCAATAAGCTTGGCTCTGCCTCTACCAGCACAGTCGATGCTCAAGGACGGGAACTAAATACTTCTTTCAACCCTGTTTCGTACTGCCACATCACCTGTTGTCTTGACTCCTCCTGACCACCATCCTCTTTCACACACAGGAGTCAATCTAGTTTCCCCTAGAAATCCATTTCCACCAGCCCAGGTAACACTCTGGACAGGGCTTTCACGTTAACCATTTGCAGCTGTCCCAGATTCATTCCTATATAGAGAGCTCACAACCCCTGTACTCCTGAATTTAGGCAAATTCTAAAACAAGTGTGATGCGCGAATGGTAATTACGATGCACTTATCTTGACTATATTCTTTTGACTATATTCTTTCTTTTCCTATGCCAAAAAGAAAAAAAGAAAAGAAAAACAAACAAACAAATGGTTACCATCGTGCTGCGGATAAATAAATATTAAGATTTGGTTGCCCTGGAAACCTGCACGGCTGCAGCTACCAGACAATGTCATCTAGTGTCAAAGCCAGCTGTTTTGTATAAAACCCGGAGAAGGGCAGTTTAAAACTTTACCTCCAGTCCACAAGATTTAAGGATTTCGCATTTCAACATGTGAAATTCTGTACAGTGAAACTGAAGAGACGGACTATGACATTGGCATGGCTTACAACACCAGAAGGTGTTGCTTTTTAAAGGTATGAAAGCTGAAAACCGGGTAATCCAAGATTCCAGTCATGCCTGCAGGGCAAAATGAGGGCACCTACCAAATGCTGTGGGTGACATCTGTTGCATTATTGCCCGGCACTCCAGGGCTGGATACAACGACACTAAGGGAGGGGTTACTCGCCCGCCGCCTGCAGACAGCTGGCTGCTTGTACCTGTGAGTGATGGAAACTGCAAATGAAAACTTTGCATTGCAAGGTTCAGAACTGAGTGACCTATTGCAGATGATTATCTGAAGACTTGGGATGTTTATATAAGTACAACTTTCTTTAAAGGAATGTCAACAATTGTTTTTCCGCTGAGAAATAACCCCTGCAAGATCTGCATTTCTTGTAAATGCTTTGCAAGGCAGAACTTAGCATAGATACAAGGATTATTGAGACAAGACAAGGTCCCTGAGAATTTCAACTTCTTTTTTTTTTTAAAGGTTCCAATCCTAATGCAATGCACAAGGTTAAAAAAAAACACGGTGTGGATTCTGACATGGCCCATAACATATGACCCAAGTTCATCATCCATTTGCTGTTCTCTCTGCAATAGAGTCATTCAAGGTGCCATTTAAGCTGTGGGTAGAAAGGTTGCAATGGCTGATTTTGCCAGCTCTAGGCCAGAAAACAAAGATGAAATTATGATTAGGATATTCCCTTCCCAACAATGGTGCCTCAACAGAACATGGCTACAAAGGTCTGCCTGGGGAGGGGGGGAAACTACTTTCTAACAACTAGATGTTAAGCTATTCTTGTCTCTGGGTTGTTTTGCTCTTTGGAATTGCCTTCTTTTAAGGATGATAATTTCTAACTCTGCAAAGCTAAATCTTATGTTAAAATTGTATGTTTGTAAGAATTAGATATTTTGCCCCCGAAAGGCATTATCTCCAACTTTTGTTGGTGTCGACTTTAACCCACTATTATATTTTCATGAATACATGGTACAGTTTCTCAGAGAGACTAACTAAAAAGTGCCTGGCAATTTTCTGAATGTATGCAAAACTAGTTCTCTCATCTTCACCCCTGCTCTAATTGGGTTACCATCTATATGTTTTTCTCCAAACTGCATTGTCAGAATTCAAAACTGGTGGGAAGGATGCAGCTATGAAGGAAGAAAGCACAGGGCCTTTCCAGTCACCCTTTGCACCTTCCAAAGGAAGGTCCAGCCTGTGTAAGTTAAGACATGTTATAGTTTGTTTAGTAGCATCTGTAGGTATGGCCTTAATACTATTGCACAAGTAACTTGGTTCCTGGAAGAAAACCCAGGGCAACTACTTCCTATGTAGGCAGGAAACTGACATGTTGCATAACCAATCCTGTCTTATGGCTGACAATAAAGAATACATAGAAGCCTTGTTCCGTCTCTCCTCCCCCCCCCAAATATTGCAGGTGATTTGTTATACTGAAATGATGCGCTGGGCACTTGTTTGACATGTGTCGCAAGGAAAAATCAACTTCCCAATTCACTAGCAATCTTTTCATGCAATGGTCTGAGTGCCTCATGTCAGAAACATTAAGTGTCCAAAAACGTACGGTATGAAAAATTTAGGAATCTTGCATGACAAAACTGCAGTCTTATGAAACGTAGTTAATCCAGGGAGATCCCAGACATTTTTGTAAAAGAATGTTATTCAATGTTGGGAGACCACGGGCCCTGTCTAAGGATGCTGGAGGAATCACGTTGCCTGTAATGTCCCAAACACTGCAAGCTTCCACCTCCCAGCCCAATCCACAGAACACTCACCTGGAGCACACGGCGAGGGGGGCTTGGTAAGTGCTAGGGCTGCGGTGCTTCCAGGAGAAGGGGGCTTGGCAGCATTCAGCTCATTGTGCAGCTCGGGGTGTTCCGGGGAAGAAGCTGAGCTGCGCTGACGTGGAGAACGACCACTCCATTCTTCCAAACCGCTCGCTGCGGCCGCCGTGGCAGAGCTACAAGTAGCACTGGCTTTGCGGGGCTGAGGGAAGAAGAGCAGGGGTGCTTATCAGGGAGCTATGGACTCTTTTTATTATTTCAGTTGCCAAGAAGGACCATTTGCTCATGCCCATGCCCGCAGTCCTGCAGGGACCCCTAGGTATCCTTCCGGTTCTCATTTGCCTCCTGTGCAAAGAAAGAAGGGTCAAACCTGTCTGGCCTGCTTTTCCTGGTCACGTAGCCACTGCAAATAAGACTCTCTGGCAACCTGTTCTTCGATAGCCTCGTTGGTGGCTTCCCAGTCGGTCGCTCGCTTTTTATCCTCCAGCATCTGCTGCTCGATCCAGGACTCCTCCGAGGTCTTGATGGCATTCTTCATCAAGGACTGCTCTGCATACTATAAGGAGCGAAAGGAGATTCAGCAAGCCCATCCCAGTTCTAACAACCCTAGGTCTTTTTTCTTAAACAGAGCTACAGCTACAAAATGTGAAGATCCCTCCAAATGCCAGCACTGGGGCAGAATGGGAAGCATTTGCCTGATGGTCACCTAGGGAGAACAGACAACAGACAGGGGCTCAATTTCTCCCCAACACAGGGAAGAGATGGATTAAATTGCCGTAAGCAATACAGAAGCAGCCTTGGAGAATGGTTGCTTTGCTAGATCTAGGAAGGAAACAAATGGTAGTCTCCTCGCAGCTGAAGGGACAGGCTGGGAAGTTTCTAAACCATGGCAGTTTGAAGATATGTGACTTCAAATTTCTAGAATTCCCCAGCTGGCATGGGAGGATGTGCTAGAGGTGGTTACTTGAGATGTGTATAGAAATATCAGGATGGCAAGTAGGCCATGCTTCGAACAGATTCTCTTGTCCCTATAGGATGTGGGACCCCCAGCCTATGCACTACAGCAGTGTTTCTCAACCTTGATGACTTTAAGATGTGTGGGCTGGCTGGTGCATGTATGAACATGCTGGCTGCGGAATTCTGGGAGTTGACGTCCAGGCATCTTAAAGTCACCAAAGCTAAGAAACACTGCACTACGGCTTAAAAAGAGCTACCTGCTTAAAATGTCTTTTAAAAAAGTAGGATCAAATTAATTTTCATCAAATGAGACAAAGCTCTATTGGAGCAACTGTTTTATTCTTTGGAAAAGAGGTGTCTCTGTTAAAAGCTCCCCCAATCTTGGGTGTAGTCCTTTCCCCAAACATCCTTCCCTCCAAATGTTGTTGTCAACATATATTTTTGAATGAGGCAGAAAAGAAAAATAGTAACATAATGATTACAGGGGAAATAACTATATGATAGCCATAGTTAAGAACTTGAATTAAGGTAAAATTCAATCAAAATTAGCCTTGGCCTAGGGTCCAGCTATTACTTTATCTTAGACACATCCATTTTTGGAATGCAGCTCCAAAAGTCAAACAGAGACCTTAGACCTCCCAAAAGTTGGGTGTCCATTCTGGAAAGTTGTGCTCACAAAACCCACTGTGCAAGTTTCTCCTTACCCCTCCTGACCTATACAATTCTCTTTGCCCCAATCTTCCAAAGCCGGGCCGTGGCCACATTCCTGTCTTTTACCCTGGATAATAGCGCAGCTAATAGTCCAGTTCATGGGGAACAAGAATGGAACAGGATATTGGCCACCAACCTCCCCCCCCAGATGTCGACCAGGAAAAACTCACCCCTGGCTTGAAGGAGGGCAGCCCTAGTCCCACCCCAATGGTAGCCTTGTTGGGGTTCACCACGGAGTTGTAATGTATGTTGCGGTGATAGCTCACCCGGATGGGCTCATCCTCATTCTGATGGATGCCATGGAAAGTATTGATGGGCTCTGGAAGGGAAAAATGGCAGGACAGGATGGGTGACTTTGGCTCTTCTGTAGGACAGGCAGGGAAGCAACAACTCCACTTGCCCAAATGGATGTTCAGAAGAATCAGGGATGCAGCTGAAACAGGGGACAGGTGCCTATACCTGTGCCATACTGGTAAACCTCCACAGGCCGGTTGTACATCTCTGCCATAGCCTGCATCTCAATGTGGTTGCCATGACAGTTGTTTTTCCGCTTGCGGTTAATGTAAGTGGTGAAATCTTCCGTCACGTAATTGGAAAAGTAGTCGGCATTCTTCATCTGAAATGAGGGAGGGCCTCAAGATGAGAGGGAAGCAGACAGACTCCCAGTGGGCAAAAGAAGCAAAAGCAGGACACTAAGTGTCCAAGGAAAGGTGCTCAGTATACACACTTGACGCTTATCCAGTCGGTGAAAAAAGGGCTCCCTTCGCTTTCCCGATCAAGCCAGGGGAGTCACGTTTTAAACAAGGCCACCTGTACAACTGAGTTAACCCGGAGACATGGGAAATGTTTGGGGGAGGGAGAGAGGGGGAAGCAGCTTCTCCTCTGGCATACCCAAAATAATTTTGCAGAATCGTTTCTCTTTTGATGAGATTGTGCAAGGCCAGCGCTGCCCCTATCGCTGGCAAGCTATTCACAGATGGCTGCCTGAACCTCAACCTTTACAAGCAGCTGGTTAATACAGAAGATTTAGTCTTGACACCTTTTGATCTGTGCTAGCAAATTTGGGGGTGGGGGTGGGGTGGGAGAACAGGAATGTTGTGGGCTCGTTCTTAACAGTGAAACGGGGCTGTGAGTTGTAGACACAAATTTTTTTTTAAAAAAAAGGGAGGCCATTTTTCACTGGCTGGATAACTGATGACTGTAGTAGCAATTACAGAGCTTCGGGTTTCAGGAAAATGGCACTTTTCCCAGAGACAGCTGCCCAGGAGCCTAACCTGATCTGCCCTGGTTCTTGCCAGGATGCCTGACAGCTGCAGTCCTGAATGTCAGACTCAAAGAGATGGCGGTGGAAATCTGCCCCTCCACAGCAGTCCCGCTCTCACTCACCAAGTAGTCCATGCAGTGTTTCCTGACCACTTCGTGCATGTCTTGGTCACCGTATACCTGGTCAGCTAGGAAAAGGAAACAGGAGGGTATGGTCAGTGCAACATTACGCTTGGCTTCCCAAGAAAGGCCTAGAAAAATTAGGTGCAGAAGTCTAGGCCCCAATCCCTTTTTTCCTGGCATTTAAGTGACTCTGGGAAGGAGATGAGATGCAAAATCACTCCATCAGCAATGCTTGAAGACCAGTTTTGCAGCCTTTCTTTTCAGCTAAACCAGGGGTAGGCAACCTCGGCTCTTTTATGACTCATGGACTTCAAGTCCTAGAATTCCTGAGTCAGCTATGCTGACTCAGGAATTTTGGGAGTTGAAGTCCATCAGTCATAAAAGAGCTGAGGTTGTCTACCCCTGGTCTAAACTGTTTGCTCCTCACCCAGTCCTACTCTCTGCTATTTTTTTTTCTTTTGGTGTCATATGTTCCAGACCACAGGTTTCATGACCGTATATAAGCTACTCAAAGATCCCGAAGAAGGATCAATAAGAGTAAAAATTGGAGATCTTTTTGAATCTGCAGCCAAGAAGGCCGCAACCCCAAATCAATTTCTTGTTCTTTCAGCTGGGATGGAAATTCAGTTCCAGAGTACGGAAACAAGTTTTTATTTTTGATTTTTTTTTTTTAAATACAAGTTGTGTAGCAGTACGACAAATCAAGGGAAGAAGAAATAAGAGACGCTATATAGGAGAGAAGCCTTTGATTGTGTGGATCACAATAAATTGTGGCAAGTTCTTAGAGAGATGGGAGTACCAGACCATCTTATTTGTCTCCTGAGAAACCTATATGCGGGTCAAGAAGCACAGTGAGAACTGGACATGGAACCACTGATTGGTTCAAAATTGGGAAAGGAGTCCGGCAAGGCTGTATACTGTCGCCCTGCCTATTTAACTTATACGCAGAGCACATCATGAAAAAGGCAGGGCTAGATGAATCAAAAGTTGGAATTAAGATTGCCGGGAGAAATATCAACAACTTAAGATATGCAGATGATACCACTCTAATGGCAGAAAGTGAAGAGGAACTAAAGAGCCTCTAAATGTGGATGAAGAAGGAGGGTGCAAAAGTTGGCTTGAATCTCAACATTAAGAAAACCAAAATCATGGCATCCGGCCCTCTCAATTCCTGGCAAATAGATGGGGAAGAAATGGAGGTAGTGAGATTTTATTTTCCTGGGCTCCAAGATCACCTCAGATGGGGACTGCAGCCAAGAAATTAAAAAATGCTTGCTCCTGGGGAGGAAAGCTATGGCAAATCTAGACATCATACTAAAAAGCAGAGACATCACCCTGCCAACAAAAGTGTGTTGAGTCAAGGCCATGGTTTTCCCAGTTGCAATGTATGGATGTGAAAGTTGGACCATAAGAAAGGCTGAGCGCCAAAGAATTGAGGCCTTTGAACTATGGCGCTGGAGAAGACTCCTGCGAGTCCCTTGGACTGCAAGGCATTCAAACCGGTCAGTCCTAGAAGAGATCAACTCTGACTGCTCTTTAGAAGGCCAGAAGTTGAAACTCAAATACTTTGGCCACCTAATGAGAAAGAAGGACTCACTGGAGAAGGGCCTAATGCTGGGAAAGATTGGGGGCAATAGAAGAAGGGGACGACAGAAAATGAGATGGCTGGATGGAGTCACTGAAACAGTAGGCATGAACTTAAATGGACTCCAGAAGATGGTAGAGGACAGGAAGACCTGGAGGAACGCTGTCCATGGGGTCGCGATGAGTCGGACACGACTTCGCAATTAACAACAACAACAATATAGGAGACATTGGCTTCTCTCCTCTTGAGTTGAAATGCAAAGTCAGCAATCATTATTTGGCTTCTATGATTCAATACGTTCTTGAAGGCAAGCGCCACCAATCCCGTGCCTCATTTTTAAGCATTTGGTTGATCATGAGTTCTGCAACTTCCATCAAGAAGTTCAAATTCTCTCATGACAGATGAACATGGAATTATTATTATTATTATTATTACTATTACTATTATTACTACTACTACTACTACTACTACTACTACTACTACTACTATTACTACTACTACTAAAGTTGGAAGGGATCTTGGAGGTCATCGAGTCCAAGTATGCAATTTTATTCCACTAGTACCACCTGCAACACATCTTTGTAATACATCAGTTAGGTGGCATTTGATCAGGGACCTCCATTAAACTGAAAAAGTTTTGTTTCCTCTTTCTTCCGGTACTAAATTAGTTTTCCCCCTTTTGTAGTAACTTTACCCTTCTACGTGCAGTTCAAAAATAAGTCAAACTAAACCTTTCACTGAGTAATCTAGCAATCAAAACCTGAACACTCTGGTTCCATTCTTCATCAGCCAAACCACAACAAGGGAGCAAATGATACCGTAGTGAAACTGATAAGGGGTGCTGAAAAGGCAACAAAAAAACAAGACAAAGCAGCTTTCCCATCTTAAAATGGAAGTCTCTGCAGGTTGGAGAAGAGACAAGTGAGGAAAAAGCTCACTGAGGCAAAAGTTTGGGAGGATCACAAAATGAGAGGCAGTCAAAGGAACATCTCTGGAAAATAAATTACCCAGGCAGCACCACAGCCTATCGAAGAAGCATTTACAGAGAAGTGCCAACATTTCTTCCTATTTTGATTTGTTCAGAACAGTTTCTGCTTCCATATCCTGCTGCAACTGACATAACAGAATTTAATTAAATTACTGAATTAATTTAATTCAATCAACAGCCCTAGCCTGTTTTAGAAAAAAAGAGATACCCAGTTCTGTTCTTATCAAAGCGCAAATACGTGGTTCAAGTGTTTTTTGTGAATCGGGAGTAGTCAAATCCAAAGAAAATGGGAAATGAGGTCGCAAACAAAAGAGGAACTTCTTGAGATTCCAATGAAACACAGTGAAATCAGCGTGAAGGATTTCTTTGTTGAGCTATATGTACTTTTGGATCATGCCCTACAATTGTTGGTGCAAATGGTGGCAATATGATTTTATTCTTCAGTCAGTTGTGAGATGGGCCGAAGAGGTGAGAAGACAGATTCACTGGGCCCTTATTTTTGCAAAAGAAAAAAACAAAGTTGGGCTGGAAAACTTCTACGTCTTGAAGCTCATTTCAGAGGGGCAATTTTGGCGCAGGGGCCTTTAGCGAACTCTAAAATGGGGTCTTATGCCATATTGGCAGACCACCCACTCGTTCTCTACAGGGGATAGAAGGAACTACAGGCATCCTTGATTTACAACTGTAATTGAGCCATGAGTTAAAACAGTCATGCTGTTGGTTTAGTGGGTTGCAGCTGACTTTGCAATCTTTTTTTTTGCAGTGGTTGTTAAGTGTATCACTGCAGTTATTAAGCAAATGCAGTGATTGTTAAGTGAATCCACTGACCTCAATGGGCGGTTGTGTTTTTTTTTTTTTTTTTGCTGGATTGCAGTCGTATGACGGTGGGACACTGCAAATAGCCATAAGTGCAGGCTAGTTTCCGAGCACCAAAAATTTGATCATGTGACTAAGTGTGTGTGTGTGTGTGTTTGTGTGTGTGAGAGAGAGAGAGAGAGAGAGAGACAGACAGACAGACAGACAGACACATCAGAACTTCAAATCTGGGCTGTAAGTAGCCCTGGGATGGTGTGTTGTAACTTTGAACGGTTGCTGAGCGATGGTCGTATGTTGAAGACTACCTATAATAAGGAGATAGCCTCAACCACACAGGCACTACTTTGCTGCAGCCTTTTTCCAGATGCGTTTAAGTACAACTCTCACTACTTTCAGCAACTCGGATCAATGATTATGGGAAGATGAGTGCCACAGTCGAACATTGGTGGAAAGCAAAGGAAAGCTTAGGCGACAAATGCAGTTGCTATAGAGCAGAGGTCTTCAAACCTGGCCCTTTTATGATTTGTGGACTTCAACTTCCAAAATTCCTCAGCCCGACAAGCTGGCTGAGGAATTCTGGGAGTTGAAGTCCACAAGTCATAAAAAGGCCAAGTTTGAAGACCCCTGCTATAGCGCTTGTAAGTTGCTGTAGCAATGGCAAGGGAGAATTTGGCCTTTTGCATCTTTCCATTCAGTGGAGCTGGCATGGCAGGGGAAGAACAGGGAGGAGCGGAGGAAACAAATCTTCAAAAGCAAGAAAAACTGCATGGCCAACCCTCTAGGATAAGACCTCTGGACTCCTTCCTCAATGGCATCAGGTTCCACCAGGCCTGCTTCCCGCCTCTATTTAGATCCTTGTAAGCAGCAATTCCTCCCATTTTCCTGCACCATGCCTTCTGCCTTCCCTGTTTGCTTCTCTTCCTGCCTTCACAACCGCCTAGCTAGCAGATCTGCCATTGCTTCAGGCACAGACAAGACTTTTTTGTGCAACTCCTCTGAAGCTGTCAGGAAACACAACATCCTCACGGGGCATATCTGGAGCAAATAGCAAGACACACACACACACACACACACACCCCTATTTGAAATGCACATCAATGAGAGTAGATGTAAAGTAGCAGGTTCTTATTATTCTTGGGGGGGGGGGCAGGCCAAGGTCTTTCGAAGAGGTTTAAGGAAAAGTTATACCACATGCTCAACTGCAAACTAAATTAAGTCATTCAGAGATTCAATCCTTAATGAAAGGAGCTGTTTTCCAGAGGAGCATGGGACAACCGCTCCTTGCATTCTGCCCTGATTGCTTTTAAGGTAGTGCTTCATCTGAGGTCAAATGATGGACCAGCCGGGCTTTCCAGAACCTAAAGTTCTCCCTTTGAATTTTTTTTTAAATTTATGTTATTGATTGGTTTACACTGCGAGCTGCAAAGAGTCACTTGGGAGATGGGTAGCATTGAAATTAAAGTAACTAAATACATACATAGACACTTACTGGTAGTCCTTGTTTAGCGACTACAATTGGGACCAGCAATTTGGTTGTTAAGCAAACCAGTCACTAAGCGACTATGAGCTCATTTCAGTTTTCCTTTGATTTACAGACCTGCAAAATCGGTAAAGTTACTTTTTCATCATTGTCATGATTGGGAACAATTACTAAACAAGGCAGTTGCTGAATGAGG